ATACATATCCGTCAATGACCTGCATATACATATCCGAGTACGTGCTATTAATCCATTATCCGGACAGTACTGAAATACGTGATCTGGGTGAAATTTGCATCTAAGTAGATGAACAGCCTTCATTTTCGCGGTAGGATAATGGTAAGTTTCCTAAACCAATGACTAGCATGCGTTCAAGGTCATTGGAACATTCAGAAGGTCATTGGAACATTTACACTCCTGGGACTCTATCCTTGTACTTGGCCTGTTTCAGTGCATTATGTGGCACTGTTGTCTTCAAAAGCACAGTAGAACTCTGTATCGTGATGAAGGGTATCAACGCATATTATTTAGAGTTGACATTCACGTATCTTACATTTGACAGCTACAACATTCTTGATATGCAAATGTTATTCCTCTAGAATTCACAAGCTCAAGTTCAATAGACATTACTTGGATTGTGGATTAATTTTCAAGTTACACATTCGCAATAATTTCTTTAAAGTGGACGAAATTAGTTTGGAGTTAGTTTATCTTTTACTTTCATGTATTACAAGTAATCTTAATGAGAGAATATCTTAAAATTATTTACTTTTCCAGACAGCGTTTTAAAATCCTCGTATAATCCACTAATATCGAAGAACATGGGGTCTGTTTATACAGACGGCATCAATATAAAAACCAGCTGTGGACTACGAATATTTTCATTTACACCTAAAGTTTGCTAAGCACTGATAGAATCAATGAATTTATTTTGATTACTAATACGTATTATTATCTTTTATAACTCCACGCTGTGCTAGTCCTTGCAAATACTTTGTTTTCTAGCTATGTGGAAATTTTCCAGTGTGAAGTTAGAGAAGACATTAATCGATCAAACTAACGCCTGCTCCGCTCTTCGGAATTGTCCTTCGTGAATTAATAAAATCTTTTAGTCACTCTTAATTTCTACTTTTGGGCTTCTTCAATGCCTCGCTTTCCTATGAGCCATTGTAATATTTGAAGCTGAATTAGCGTATATTAAGCTTGCTGTCCTTCACTAAACATTTGTGACTACAATAGTGATTTTGAATCATATACACGGATAACCGATGTGTATCTGTAATACGCACTCACTGTATTTAGAACTAGTAAACCATAGCTCACACTTACATTTTAAGACGTTTCCAATTGCCTTCCAATTTATTTTTTTCCAAAGAAAGGGTATACCAACAGCACATAGTCACATTTCAGACGTGGGGTTTCATTGTTTAATTTAGATTCCCTAACAGGATATCGGGTTTTTGTCCGAAAGTGTCCATATTCATGTTATATTCACCTTCTGAAAAAATTTCAAAGCTTTTTCAACTTCAGCTCAGCTTATAAATTCTCCGGGTCTTATGTGAACATCGAAAACCTCGCTAATACCAACTCCCACTGTGCTTTCTTCGCTAGACTGGCTTGTAGATTGTTGTGTGCTGTAAATATTATAAAAAGGCGTTGTTTTTCCCAGATTCCTTCAGATTTTGTAATCATATGAACCACTAAGTACGACAGCAAACAACAAAAGAACTGAAATAACAGCTTATTTCCAGACATGTCTATGTGTTTAATTTCCCAAACATTTATAAAGTAATAGATGAAAAATAACTGGAACACTGGATGAAAGCAATATACGAAACAATTACAATGAAATATGTGAACCGGTCAGGTGGCAGCAAGTTTCGAAATAAAAGAAATAACCAATTTTAACGGCAGCGAAAACCCGAAGGATATAGAACGTTAATTCAATGAATAATCTACATTGAGATTATTTGTAGATGATGAACATGAAACCAGTGTACGAGCAAACAGTTAACAAATGCCAACCAATATGAATATATTTTTGGCAACCATCAAAACAGGAATGGTCTAATAACAAATATAACATAGATATATGCGCCAGCGTATGTGGAAGGAAAGAAATTCATGGAGCTGTATAAGTGATATTTTACCTATTTTTAATGATGATTCAAGGTGAACTATCGTGGTATATGCAAGTGAAAGTTCACATTTGCTTGTTTGCATTTCAATAATTCCATCACGCGTAATCAGCAGTGATTTTCGTCTTCATCTTGCACCGAAATCTGTATTGTTATCGTATATGCAATAGCGCAATCACATTCTTATTAATCCAGACTTAGACTGGATGATTAAGTAGGAAGATTATTATCAATATACTGATCCCTAACTACTTATATTAATCTTTTCCAGGCCTTAACTTCCTGGTCTCCATGAATCTTGCCACATCCGCAGCAATATCACGGGTAGTTGACTCTAATACCTCGTTTTCAAAAGACTGAAATATTACAATTGTGTGGCTGATATAATCACGAATCCACTGTAATTTGAAACAAATCCTTAAATCACATACAAAAATGTCACGCAGATATATATATGCAGGGAGAATCCAAGTGCAGAACACCGAATCTGGGGTTTTCAGATTTACAACGGAGCAGTTGGGTTAATGAGATTATGGGCATATTTTTAATAATAATCACTACATATTAAGTGAGATTCTGTTAACGATTTGTTGGGAGACCTACGTGGGAACACAGTTATAAGTCAAGAAGGGAGTCCGCCCAATGTTTTTGGAGAAAAATTTCATAAAAGACAAATGAAATTTTCAGACGGAGGGGGTTTAATTTGGATAGTTGAGAGGTTATTTTTATTAGTTGTCGAGACAACTTATGAAAAGAGAGATGTGATTGTAAATGATTCAGAGCCGCATAAAGCCGAGGGGAAAAAGTCACCGTGAAGCATAATCCCCTACGCTTTTAAATCGCACGAGAGGGGCCAAGTAGATAGGGAATTTATCAGCACATAATCCATGTAATCTTTTTCAGTTATTCACTGATATTTCTATAGATATTTATCTGATTAGGATGTTCTGTGTTCGTATAAAAACATATAATTTATAAAATCATTTCGACAGGACTTAGTGAGATTAAAGCAATGAGGAGAGGCTCTTCTTTTTGCGTTCAACTTTCTGAAAATGCCTGAATCTTATGAATCAAAGCGCGCAATTTCTGCATTGTGTTACTGTTAGGAGACCACATTCCGTATGGTAATAAATTTCAGTTATTGTTGCACTTTGTCTGGTTATATGTGACTTCAAAACTCACGAATTTAAAAATTGCAAACACATTGTGGTTTTTTTATCAGCCACTTGGGTGACTAATTCCTGTAAATAAATCTGTCAAGGTCATCGATTCGTTTATTAGGTAGTTTCGTTTTGGGCTGCTTTTGTTTAGAGTTACCGCAGCTTGAACTGCTGTGCACAGTTCTCTGTTGAAACCAGTCAGCTATCCACTTATAGGTGGATCGTTTTGTCTTATATATCAATTCAAGTCGAACTGCATAATATACCAGTTTCAGCCTCCCTAGCACGAGTAAATGAATCAAAGCATTTATGATCAAAATGAGACAAATTTTGAATGAAGCTGAAGCATATTCGTATCTTCAGCATTTCTGCTGACTCCAATTCGTAAATCCGGAGGACTCGCAACAGCATGTTTGGATCACATATAAGATTGTCAAGAAAATTGTATCCCTTAACACTACTGAGATGAGTTAGACCTCAGTAGATGTCACATCTTGATGTTTTTATTTCAATGCTTTCTTGATACGAATACTTAGAAATAAGAAAAAGGAACATTTATTCAAAAATGGCATATTTTCCCTAACAGATTTGTTTTGGAGCTGTGCAATCATATATATGTTACGTACCTAGGACAGTCGCACTATACTCACCCAGTCATTGCGGTTAAAATAGTTCACGCCAAAGTTCGGATGTAAGATTAAAATGCACGAAACAGAGAATCCTTGAGGGAAATAGTTGTTTTGAAAGGCGTAAAATGAGCCAAGTGATATTAGATTAATAATGGTAATGACAAAGAAGAGAAAAAAGTGGAATCATATTATGCAAGAACAAATTCGGGTTGCGGTAACGAACGCAGAGTTTCGGTTTCGCTTCTTTTAATGCATGGCTATTGCTTCAACTGCATGCAAATAATCGGAGCTCAAGCCTTTGCAGTTGTTTAGGTAAGCCACCTGAATAACATAGATAACAGTTAGTAAACAACCTCAGATGTTCACAAATAAAAAATTTTGATCCATTTTCACTTTTTAATCAAGCTAACTAATGTTTAAGAACATGTTTACGAAAAACTCGCTTGCAATATCCAATGTAATCAGCTGCACGGAAGAATAAAATTACAGATGCACGTGCGAATGAAAATAAATTGACTTACTAAAGTTAGTAAATCAGTTAATACTTGTGAAATAGACTTAATTTGACTTATAATACTTGACAGCTGATGATACAACCTTGAATTCAATAGGTACAGCAGGATTCTAACTTCTCACTCTTTCAAATTCGAGTGCCTATAGTACTACGGTTCAGCATGTGTGACTTTACATCGCTTCATATCAGTGTTGATGGAGAGGAAGGCACAGCAAATGCTCGTTTTGCATTGTGCATTGTTCCTCAACCTTCAGGGAATAGTAATAATACTTTTCCTGAATCTGGTAAAACTTATCAAACACCAGAAATATTCTTTATCATTGGCAAGCTCTAATTAAAATTCGCATCCCAAATTAGTTGTTTTCATTATTTGTGGTCTGCTTTTGTTCCAAAATGTCAGTATAACTTTTTTCTGCCGCAGTTAGTGTGCATTTACTATCGTTTTGATGCCTTTTCTATGCATTTTGTGTTTCTGCCCACTATCTTCTTAATAGTTGAATTTTTATTCAACCTTTATTTCAGCATACCACTTTATAATTTTCCCACCAGTATTTCAACCAGCTGTTTTTACTCAAACATTCAAATTGGACTTCACTGCTTACAGCGATTGTATAAATCTTGCTGTTGGTCATTATAAACAAGTATGTGGCAGTCCATTCATGTTTGGTGGTCTTGCGTATTTGGGCCATCAGTATATCGGGTCCCAGAAGTAACGGCAGATCAGGTGCGTACGATTTTTTCTTTTTTGTAATGACAGTCAACGGCATACACCCCGAATTCATTAGAAATGACCTCCTCGTCAGCTATCAAAATGTTCCATATAGCAGTAGGTGTGATCAAGTGGACAGTGCTTTTCTGGAGTCCCTGGGCGTTTAGAAAATGTACGTTATTTTATAATAATGCATTGCATAACTTTTCAATCTTTAGTGAAATCCTATGACAGTCTTTTGCAGCTCTCTAGATTCCTTGCTGTTACATTTGCATTATATTTTTCAGCACTTCTCTTTAGAGGTTAGCAACCACATTTGCGTTAATAATTGTAGGAACTGGAAGATTTTGCAATCGCACATATCAGGAGTTCATGACTTTGTTTTTAGAAAGCAAGAAAAACACTACTGAGGCCACTTTGGTAATATTCACAGCATACAATTTCTTAACAAAATATTACAGAACAAATTATCTCTCTATACTTTCAGCTCTCCTTGGCCTGTCCAATTTGACGTTCGTCAATTACCTGACGGTTGCATAAAACCCAAAAAGACGTGTCCCAGACGTACTTCAGATATACCTACTGTATTTTCACCCTTGATGTGAGTCGTTTATTTCTGTTTTCAACATGCGAGTCTTGTTATTTTCCCAAAAATATCAGACTTGTAACCACAATCTGAAGTATGAAATTTCATTGAGTTAAGTGCTACTTTCAGAACGACGTTCTTTATTCTTCTTGATGCGCTAACTGAATACCTATAATTTTTCCAAGGGTTATTTTGTAGGGAGTTGATTTGTTCCAAGTTTGATCACGGATTGATGTCACTTGAAGAATCATTGAAAAGCATACCAAAACTTGCGCTAAAAATATTGTCTAAAAGGACAATGAAAAACAACTAGCTCAGAGAATACAACTACTGGACAGCTGTGTCAATAGCCACCGAAACAGCTGTCCAGTACCCCCTGGTTTTCAATGGTTCTCTAACTGACATCAGTTTGCGATCATGCTTGAAGCGTATCATTTTTGTTCAGAGACTCGATTAATCTAGTGAGTTTTAGCAACTCAGACATGGCTGATAAAAATTTCTGTATTCAATACCGATTGACTGGATGTTCGACTCATTTCCAAGTGTAGCCATTTGAACAGTTGTATTTCAAATTGTAGACCTATGACGTAAAAAACATATTCCAAATTAAAGGCAAAAGATTAAAAACTTCCAACCATGTGTTAAAGAATTAACAGTATTGACTCTGCATATACTGAAGTAGAATCGTTAACTGAATGCTGCTATCTGGGTCAAGAAACTTACGTATTAAAACTAAATACTAAAGCACCGTATTGTTCGTATTCTCACCAAGTATGGTGTGTTTCTAGTTGATCTATTGAGGGGTGATTTTTCTTTCTCAGTTGGCATTAGATTGGATCTATTCTTATATGTCTATAGGTCACAATTTCGTGTAAATGCCATGCTTCTAGGCATTATTTATGTTTGTTGATTAAATTTTCCCTCAGTCGAAGCCATGGTCTACTAAGATCAAGAATGAGATATCATGTTTTCTTATCCCCAGTTGATCCCCCTAAATTTTGCAGGAAGGCTGGTGGACTCAACTAGCCAAAACGGTAGACCACATACCTGTGTGATGCTCGTTTTTACCTTTTCACAACTGTTAAAACCCAATGTTGTCGTTTCGATTTGTCTTATATGGATGTTTCATAAATGGAATAAGAAATTAGTCATCATAAACGTGAATACTTCACATGTTTGTTGTTTTCTGTAGTAGAATTTTAATGGAGTGTTCATGGTTTCTGACTTTGGATTTCTTATCACAGCTTTATGGAATTATTCCAATCTCTGCATGTCATTTTTCATTCATTTTTTAGATGGGTTATCGCACATACTATTGGTGTTCGTATGGCTTATATTGGATGTACAGGGATTTTAAACTCGCTTACCTGTGAGCGTATTATGTTTTTGTAAAATAAATTTGCTATTTAACTTTCCAGTATGCACTTTTTTTACTGTTATGAATATAGAGAGATGATAACTAGTGTTTCTCATGATGCACTCGAGTTTTATTTAATTACAGTGTATTACACTTTCAGGAGACACGATCATTTTTTCGTACAGCTTGATAATATTGATTTTAAAACGAATGGCCAACACATGTGTTATATTCAGAGGTTTTTTACTTCTACTCTCAGTCATACGAGGAGTTATGAAAAAGTGGAATTAAAAGTAATGGAACATGGTTATTACTATTCCTAGTCAATATGTTGGTAACTATAATTCTTTTTATGTTCAACTTTTTAAGACTTCGTCTGTCTAAGGATCTGATGGGTTTAGATTAGGTGGAAGCTCTAACAACGTTGTGGAATCATATTAATGGCGTGCACTAACATATAATGAAATGGCTGAGTGTATTGATCGCTTATTATTATTTTTGAAGTGACTAGTGACCTAATCTCAGCAGGGATACAATATGTTTTTCCTGGACATTTAAATTGATGCTATGTACCATATTGACTATTTATGTGGATTTCTGTATGAAAAAATTATTACAAGATAGTCTTTTGTTTGTATTAGGCTGCAAATCGGTAAAGCTAAACCTTGGTCAGAGGCATCCTGTTAACGATGCGTTTTAAGGGCCGTCTGAGCAAGTAGAGACCATCTAGTAAACGATGCTGAAGTTAGACTTAGAGTTTTGGTGTAGAAATTTAATTCACTTGATAAGATTATTAACTGTTCTCTATTCCGATGAGTGATTACACATTTGGCAGATTTAGTTTGGACATCAGATAATCCTAATGAAATGATTGCCACAGTCTAGTTCCATGTACTCGCTGCCCTTTTTATTTTCCAATCTCGTATACCTTAACATCTGTTACATCACGTAAATGTCTTTTTGCTGTACTTAAACTGATGTACTTTTTATTACGGAGTCCCATATACTGTATTTTCTTATGTTTTAATCGGAGTGTAATCTAAGTGGCTTATCTTACTTCTTTCTCATGAAAGCTAAAGTAAAGTTTCCAATATCAAAGTATACACACCCCGTTTTTAAAAAAAATTCCTGCTGAACTCTATGGGACCTCAAAAATCAGTCTTAGTTTTCCCTACCTTCAGAATATCATTTTTTTGAAGTTATGTAAAATGTCTAAAGTAAGGCGGAAAACTTCACAAACAAACTATCTCGCAGAAAACACAATAACAAAGATATCCATCTAGACTACAGATCTTTCGCAACATTTCAAAGTACTTGTTATTTGCCAATCGATTCCACTGGTGGTGTTTTTCAATCAATAACACTATTTCACTTGTTTTACCAGACAAATAAGATAACTTTGAATTATATTCTATCATGTTGTTCAACTTATATGCCATAAACCATTGATATACGCTGCTTGGATAGATGTAGATAGTGGACAACACAGTACATTCTCACATAAGTTCAGTGGTTTATAGTGTCATACTTCACCACAGGGAGAAAAGAGGTCAACAAGAAGGATATAAAGTTATTAATATCAGCTTGAAAAACAAGTGGAGAGATAATACCTTATTATAGAATAATAAGATAATCAAGCATTTGAAAGAAATAGCATTTGGATTATTCTGATAGGTTCATGGCTGTCGTCCATAATATTTTACCGATGCTTCTTGACATTTCACAAACCGTGCTAGTTAACTTACCTTTTTCTCAGTACGACTTTTCCCGACCATCAGTAACTTCATGCATTAGCGCCTTGTTGTAGGTTCGTTAGTGTTAAATTTTCCTCTGCATAATAATGCTCTCTATATTTCTCATATAAAAGTATTTTCCTAGATAATTCTTTATTGGCTTGATGCTTTCAGTAATAGATACATTTTTATGTTCAAACTCTGTATTAGTGAATGCCAGATTGGATGCACGGGACAGATTGAGGAGACTGGTAAGTTTTGTCATCATTATATTTTCTAAAGTTTTCTAACGTGTAAATTTCATTTGGAATTGGACTTGTTATTAACTGTATTTAACCAAAGCTGAGTAATAATTTGTTGACTAGAGTAAAAAAATGGATTTACACATTTGGTAGCTCAAGTCATTCTGTTACTTTTTGAATCTCACTTGAGATGATAACTGGGGTTGTTTATGAAAACTCTGTCTGAAAAATGACAATTCAAAAATATAACAGTCCAAGTTGCCATACTGTCCTATAAAGTTGGGAAAATAGGAAACTCGTAAAAAACTATAGTGGAAGGAAATTTTTGGAAGAAAGAAAAGCTACATCGGGAACATAAGGACTTGGTGGAACTGGGAAATTACGAAGAGTAAATGCAACTGCGCCACTGAGAACGATTTTGAACCATGTCACCAAGAGTCTTAAGCCATTGGTCCTTAGCGTCTCAAGGACCTCAACCAGGAAGTACATACCCATACACCTCAAATTAACAGTGATAAATACCGTGCATTGATCCCAGGTTTTGATTCGATCACCCTTAACTTGTCTCCACGCCTATCCTGCAATAGCTAACATTGCCCATGGAGAAGGGCCAGTGAACTGGTATGTGTAACACTGATGATGTTTGTAGACAGCTATTGCAACGCAAATCAGATAATTTCAGTCTTCTACTTTAGATTTTTACACTCACACAGAATCTGAAAAGCGGCTTTATGTAGACTCTTTTCGTTGCCGACTTGCATCGTCTTTGGTGTAGGTGTGATATTCGACCAACCATCTATGAATCTGTTTAGTAGCTCATAAATATGTCGTGTCCTGCATTACGACCGCCAGGCATGATCGATGAGGTTAAATGTAAAGTAATTCAGATTTTTTTACCATAGGTGTTTGCGTTCATTTACTCATGCGTCGGTGGCATAGCGGTTAGGACGCTCGCCGACCATGCACATGGTCCGGGGTTCAATTCCCGGCCTACTCACTCCTTCACCTCTCTAAGCAAATATTGAAAAAAGCTGGTAAAGAGGAAAGGTTGGGCATGAGGCTAGCAACCCCATCCTGTAAAAATAAACACTGCTACAGAAACTTCAAGCCTCCAGCTTGAAGTCCTATGTTCCACTGGGAACTTGAAGGAATAAAAAAAAGGTGTGAGAAAATGGGAAATAAATAAAATGCTACCTAAGAATATATGTTGTTTTCAGGTCTATTCCATTAAGATGGTTATGGCATGTGCTAGTGTGTATCCTGAATCCCCTTCCACGATGAACAGTGTTAGCTAAAGTAGGATTATTCTGTAAAAGGTAGAATTAGTTAAATCAGTACATCAATTCATATGGTCGTTGACAATTGGACATTCACTTATGTCGATGCAGATGGCTTATCAGGTTAGCTCGTTCGAAATATGGAGTGTCAAATTGTCCAGATAAAAAGATGCTTTCTATGGAAGTGTATCACTTCATTTCCACACTGAAAAATCACACTAAGATAATAATATGTGAATTAGAATAGGATATACGAGTATGAGGGACAAATACATTAAGGCTGGTAATACACTACGACTGGTGTTGAAAGTTAATCACGAGTGAATACATCTGCATGAATGTCGTTGGCTGTTAGTGATACTACAGAGAATCCACTCATCCCTATGATAATACTGACTGTTACAATGTGATAAAACTTTGTTTGTGCTCCAATAAATTATCCCTTTAAATGAATCAGAATATGTTTTTAAGACCACGTTTTCTCACGTTTAGGATCACAAACTTTATAATTTGAGCACCGAAACCGTTACCAACAGGTCATAAGTCCGTAGGTCACATCACCTGTTGAGTTTCTTAAACAAAATCAGTTCTCATTAACCCTTACGAATTAAATAAAACTTACAACTTTGTGCACATTTTTGTACTACTTCGTTCACCGTGTCCAGACAATGGTGGAACTGAGATTTACAACTGTTTTTGATCATCAGAATTAGAACATTAGATTTTTGAAGTATTATTATTTTCTATTGTGCATCAGCTGTAGTCTCCTTCATTCGTGTTTGATGCTTCTAAGCACTCACATATCATAGGCTAATATCTGTTTTTTTTCATTTCCTTCATGGTTCTCTTTGTCAAAAAATTCCACTTCATGCATTTGCCATTCAATCAGTACGATATTCGTAGAGTTGGATTTTCAACGAGAGATGGTGAATTCGTGGAAGCATTTTATGCTGATCGTCGAGGATCGATTCCGGTTTCATCAGAATCTACTTCAGTTGGACATGGGGATTCTAAGGGAGAAATTCTAGTAAGATGATATTTATTATTATCATCATCATAGTTAATTATAGTAACCATTGCTGTGTAGCTTTTATAACAATATTTATTCGTATTGTCGTTTTGCATTCCTGAAAACACGATTTGCTTTTGTTGCAGCATCCTCTTTTCCATCTAAAATCAATTATCTATCTCCATATTTTAATTGTGAATTGTCCTCAACAGTTTTGTGGACTAATGCAGAATTTAATTCCAGTTTTTTTTCATTATTCACCCTCCGAGTGGAATATGGGGCTTCATGATCGCGAAGTTTCCGTACCGATGGTGCTGTTTTTACGGCGTTGGGTTGCAAAACTAACGCACCACCTTACCTGTTTTCTGAACTTACTACCGCCTGGTAAACTGGTCAAGATTTAGTGTAGCATTGGCTGGAAATCGAATTTGGTCACCCGCCCCCCCCCCCCCTCCGCGTTTCCGTGGAGAGCATTTTACCATTAAACAACTGACACGCAAATTAAATAAGTTTATTTGATATAACACACCGACATAGTATTAAAAATTGGATGACGTTTTGAACACAGTCGTTTTTACTATATAGCATTGTAGAAAGTAGCGTAGAAACATTAATGTGATTATTAGCAATAAATTGTACTCGAGATGTTAATACTGAATCACTATGTCTTATATCAGATGGACTTACCGAATATGAAATTGTTAGGAATTTTTAGTTAACAGATGTTAAATAATGTTTTAGAGGAACTTGATGAGCAGTAGTTGCATAGAGCGTCTATTAAACCTGAGAAATCGACAACCTGCTTATTGTGATGACCTGGGATACCATAAATGTTTAGATGCTAAACTTTCCAAGTATTGTGCCATATTATGCTGTGATACCGTAAGCAACAGTGAAATTACCTTTCAAAAATGTGAATTACACCGGTAGTTACATGGGAATCCTAGCCATTTTACAGTCATCAAGTGTGTCAGACGTGATTTGTTTTTCCCATGATAATAAATGAATTGTCTACCCACGATGCGTAAAAGAAGATTTAGAATTCTTTGCTGTTACATCCACACCTGATAAAAATTTTCACTTGAAATTTCACTTTGTTTGATTAACTCTTCCTTTTAAATTGTAAAATATTCTTCATAGATTGAGTAATCGTGCTTTCATTGGCTCTGGTTAAGAGTCCCAAAAACAGAGTGCCTGAACATGTAGCGGACAAGGCGGTTGTATTATGTTTCATTACACTTTATCTTAATTCCTCTGGTGTGCATTGCATCCATTTGCTCAGACTTTCTTAATAATCCTTTCGCAAATATTGGTCTTTTTTTATCGAAATTAACATGGAATATGTGCAGGTTTCTGTGGAATGTTCGTGTGGTTCACTTATAGATCCATCCATTCACTTTTATTGTGGAGTTAGTCACTTCGATTTAGCTAGCAGTAGGTTGCATCATTCACTTGGAGTTATCTTTGATGTAAGTTATAGTCTCATTCTGAAAATCGATCATACCAATCATTATCTTTTGTTTTATTTGCTGACAATTATCATTCATAGATACTTTGCTGTGAAGGTAATGGTGGATATCCTGAGATTGGAACACCTGTGGTCCCACTTGAACAAGGGTATTCAGTCTTGGGATGGAATCATCCTGGTTTTGGAGAAAGCACGGTATGATATAGCTTTATTTTAGCACTTTATTTCAACTATTTACTGATTTATTTAAGTTGTATCTGTTATAAATACAAACATGTCTTTATATTTCAATTCTCACTTTTGATATAACTGTCTATGTTTTAGCTGACCTACAACAGTGGTTGTTGCTTGGAATTTTGTTCATATAATTATCCCTTCATGATCCACATCAACTCCAAATATGAGGAGAAATATTGTCTCACTTGGACATCTATGTCATCAATACGGAGATGATTTCATGTTCCCTAAACGTGTCTCTGCCAATGTGTCAAAAGGCGGAATCAGCTTTGGTTTGATGACCGAGTCTAGTCGTTGCAGGCTTAACCGATTGTAACAACGAGTCCATATACTATTGCCAACTTTTATGTCACAAATAACTTGTCCTTGTCGTGCTATGTCGAAATGTTCATTCCAAGCCTTGTGCTATGATCTTTAATCATGGGAAAAGAAATCAGCAACAATGTGGAATCCTTCTTCGATTTTGTTTAATGAGACAGAATGCTTAAGTTCCCTTGTTAAGATTGAGCTATGAATAATCCTTAGTTTATGTCCATAAAGTATTTTTGCCGGTAGCGAATCATTCGGAGTTGCGCTATGTACAGGCGGAATTTCTTGAGTGAAAGCAAGTGGTATCTACTCTCCCTTCGCTTTAAGTAAGGCTCTCTTCAAAATGTTAATAGATCGTTCAGCCTGGCCGTTTGAGTGATATAATAGTGAAAGCATGCATGATAGTATGCTGATGGCAGTACTGCTGAAACCGATGATCAGTAAACTGAAACTGTGTTTGTAACTATTGTTTCCGGCAGACCATATTTCAGGTAGTCATTTTAGCGTCTGTGACGTTGTTTATGAGACAACGGATACAATCGCCAGGCATTTTGAAATGGAGTGTACTACCAATAAGCAGGATATACTATTTATGGAGTTGGCAAAGTCTGTATTATTAGGAGACTACTCCCTACGCCGTAGGGGTAAGGGATATTTAGCGAGAAAGTTTCGCTGCTTGCTGGTGTTTTGAACGTCGCCTAACAAAGTTGGCGATGTGTTGGTTCACATTTAGTCAATATGAGGGACCCATGGAAGTACACTTTATGTCCCGTGTGAAACTGTTTGAGAGCTTCAGTTAGAAGAGCTTTTGGAAATACTATATGCTTTTCGAGCTTCAAACAATCCCCTGCAACACACAGGGAGGGAGTCGTGACGAGCCAGCAGATATTGCAAATTGCCACTGGGCCCGAATATTTGGCCAGAGATGCGACAAGGACCTCGTAGTATGTTTTAAGCTATTGTAACTGCGCATTGCAAGCTCGATTTCGGCTAACAATTGCTAGTAATAATCGAACAGCATTGTCTTTGAGGGTAAATCGGCACAATCACAGTATCTTCACTAGACTAGACAAAGCCACCAGTTTGTCTAAAACACTAGTTTTATTAATTTTAATGACAAAATCCGCCATCAAGATGATTACCAAGCACCATAGTCAATTGGCTGCATGTGCAGGAGTATTAGATTTTGAACAGTAGATTGATAGTAACAGTCTGTAGTCTGTTAGCAAGGTAGATCGACAACTGTAAATAATTGTACGGAAACTTCTCACAGCGAAGACTAAAGCTAAAGATTCTTTTTTAATCTGTCCGTATTTCTGTTTTGCGATGGTCAGCACTCTGAACACATGCACAATTGCTTTCTGTAAACCGTTTGGAAAGGCGTTTAAAATTAATGTCCCACTTCTTAGATTGAAGCTTCAGCTGCAACTTTGACAAAAAGTCTTGGGTTATATTGTATGAAAAGCAATTCGGAGCTCAGAATTGACTTAAGTATATTCCCAAGACGGTTTCGCAATCTCCCAGCTATTTCCGGATTACATTCTTTACTGGCGAGCAATTTACTAAATGTCGGACATTATGCATTGATGACATAAATGAACCGAACTGAACTATCAACGTTAAACGTGTGTGTTTTAGTTCATATTGTCACACTTCATATAAACAGCGAAAAGAAAAGCAGTGATACTGTGGTGAGAGCTGTCTACTAGCCAAATTGGTAGACAGTAATTTACGTCAATGTTTACGTTCTCAAGATTTGTCGTGAGAAAATATGAACAAAGACTGATTCAAAACCAACCACAGCAGACTTTGCATAGGCGGATACAGTTAACATATAGATGATCTGACATTCAAGAGACAGTCACAAGGAGATGAAAGATTAACTTTAAGTGAGAAACAGCCAATCAGAAGACTGTGTTTGTTTGCTTAACTAATCTATAATAATGTGCATGAAAATATATAAATATGCTTTGATTTCCTTAATAAACGATCTGTTGCCTGGCCCTTGTCTTCTGTTGTTACAATACTACTATAAACGGAGATGTTTGGAAGAATAATCGCATAAAAAATAATGAGAATTCAATGAATCTTGGATATAATAAAGATTGAAATCCTTGATGACATTGAGAACGATTCTGAACTCTATCACTGACACTCTCCAACCATTGATTCTTAACATGTGAATGTTGTCTACATCCAGACAATCTATTCTCCCTTACGTCAGTCAGACCAACCAAAAACTTCATTGATTGATGCCATGTTTTGATCTTTTCACTTCTAGCTCTGTTTCAACCTAAACCAGTATCTGCTAACGTTGCTTATCCTATAAGGCGATGATTAGGCCTACGTGGCATATGTGTTAGTTGTCTAGTTTGAAGTGGCTTCACAAACTTACCTATTGCCTTACCTAACGCTACGTCAAGTGTTATAATTACTGACCATATTGTACCACTTAGCACAGCGGGTATTTATTTTCACACCCTAATCTGTGGAACCCAATTATCACAGCTTCTTACTAGAGCTGCAAGCAACTTCGTCCTGTAGTGAGCGTGCTCACTAGTAACCTCGTAACCTGAAGGTCCTGGGCTCGATTACTGGTGGGGTTATAAATGCGTACTGCTGTCGTGTGCCAAACAAGGACGACACATTTGTCCAGCAGTCCCTCGTTTTCAGTGATTCTCTAACTGATGTCAGTTTGTTATCTGTTCTTGCTTTTCTCGGGTGTTTTTTATTCTGTGTTTTCTCTTATTTATAGAACCTCTAGCTAAATCAATTATAATCTTCAGAAATCAATTATTTATGTTTTATGCTTTCTAATTAATTTTCTATATGATATTAAAGGGTTTACCGTTTCCGGAGAAGGAGCAAAATGCTGTAGAAGCATGCTATCTATTCGCTGTACATCGACTAAATTTTCAACCTGCTCAAATTTACTTATTTGGTTGGTCTATTGGTGGTTATACAGCTTCTTGGACAGCAATGAACTTTCCTGATGTGGCTGGTTTGGTAAGCTAGTTGCATAGCACATTTGTTTTTATATTACATAGTCTGAAATGTGTTTCGATTCTTTTTAAAATGGATTTAATATCTAAAATAAGTAACACCTTACCTTCAGGAACAAGCAGTTAACATTTGTATTTTTGAAATCAATGTAATCGAGTTTTAATTCTGGCAGGTCAGCTGTTTAGTAGGAGCACTTTTGAGTAATTGAATTGAAGTGATAAGTTATAATAACCGGACACAATTTCTCCTTACTTATTTATTCTCCTTTCAGTGTAGTATTAATAGACAGGAAATTGATCAAACTGACACATCTATGGTTAGTGTCTCAGAAGTGCACAGTTTTCGCAATTTAACTTTTGCTTGCACCATTCAG